AATGAGGGGACTCGGTGAGAGAAGAGCTAGAGGACAGGGAATTGGAGACCAGGACAACAGAACTGGGGCTAGGGGAAGGACTGAGAGTGGGTAAAAGATAAATGAGAAGACAGACTCTCCCGCTGAGAGTCAGGGAGGGGCGGGGGCGTAAGGGAATCTTCAGGTACTAACTGCTCAGAACTCAACAGCCCGATGCAGATCTTGGAAGCCAGCCCCACCCCTCGCCAGCATCTGGGGCTGCTCCAGTTGGCGGGACGAGATTGCTAAACCTCCATTATTTTAGAAAATCAGTTAAGTGTGCTCTCTTACGAACAGCTCATTGGATGCTTTTGGGGAAATTCATATGAAATGTTTCTCTTGAGCGCCCGGGCATTCCCAGAAAAAAAAAAAACCTGTTAAGGTTCGGTTCTCCATAGAATTCCAAGCGCAAAGAAGTTGGAGTGTAACCGGGCGGAGGCCTCAGCAAGTCAGTCAGGGGCTGGCTCCCAGCGTCTCTGCGAGGGAACTGCGAAGGGCCGCGCCCCACCTGCCGACCCGGTCGCTGCGCTCGACTCCGGGCGAGGCTACGCCTTTGTCGCGGAAGGTCGACCAGCACCTGCGGTCTGGGAGCGAGCAGGAGGAAGCCCGAGGTGCCGCTGGAGCGCAGTCAGGACTCCTGGAGGTGGAGGCGAAGGCGAAGAGGCGGGTTGGGGGCGGGCACTGGGAAGCGGGGGCGGCCTCCAGAGTTGGCCCTGCTCCTCCCCCGCCCAGCAGGTCGGTGCAGGGACACGGCGGTCCCGGACGAAGGGAGGGGGCCAGCGCGCCGGGACGGAAGGAGGAGCCGCGCCACCTTTGAGAGTCATTGGAGGACGCGGCCGCCCGAAGCTGATAAATAAGGGACTGCAGTTGCGGGCTAAGTTGGACGCCCCCAACCTGTGCAAGGGCCAGGTCAGCCCCAACCCAGCGAAACCAAGCGAGGAGACCCCTGTGCGGCCATGACCTCCCTGTTGGGAGCTTACCCGTGGCCCGAGGGGCTTGAGTGCCCGGCCCTGGAAGCCGAGCTGTCGGATGGGCTGTCCCCGCCGGCCGTCCCGCGCCCCCCGGGGGACAAGGGCTCCGAGAGCCGTATCCGGCGACCCATGAACGCCTTCATGGTGTGGGCCAAGGACGAGAGGAAACGACTGGCGGTGCAGAACCCAGACCTGCACAACGCGGAGCTCAGCAAGATGCTAGGTGAGTGAGAGAGTAGGGAGTCAGCCCGAAGGTCGGCGGGCAGGGATCAGCTTGCCTGGGGCAGGGGTTCGGCCAGAGGCGGGGTCTGGGCTTAGGCTGAGAAAAGTCAGAAAGGAGGCCGTAGAATGCGCGAAGAAGTTGGGAAGCTTTGAGTATGCCTGGAGTACGTGTGCGCTCGTTTTAGCTGACTGGGTGCTCACTGTATCCACGAAATTATTCATACACTGAGTATGGATGTGCGTGCGGGTGTTGGAGTTTCAGAGCCCGACAGATAGGTGAGATCCAATATGAAGCCTCACAGCCTGCAATAGGAACAGAGTAGCTGCCGCCCCGCTCCAGACCCCTGGAGGTAACCGGACGACTGGCCTTGGCTGGGACTGGGACGGGACCGCCGGGCGACTGGAAACGTCTCGCCGAGCACTGTTTTTCCGGGTCGGTAAAAATCCGCGCGCAAGGAAGCGGCGGGTAACGGAAACAAAAAGGTCACAAACTCGACATTTGCTAGGAATACCGAAGAGGGAAACCCTATTATTCCCTGCACTTTACGATTGGCACAATCACAGAGGTGTTTGTTGCAGATAAAAATATTAACGAATATATGTGAAATGGAACATTGCTAGAACGCATCCCTGCTTTAACTTAATTAAAATAACAGCAAAAGAAGTCTACACAAATAGACTCGATTCGTTATTCAAGTTCTCAATCGCAGGAGTGTAGGTAATTTAATTCGGATTATTTTGGTGGCCAGTGAGGGTCTGTCCTAGAGCCGCGCCGCTTCTCGGCTTCTGCGGCCCTGATCCTGGCTGGGGAGGGGCCAGATCCGAAGACCCCAAGACTGCCCTTTAGTGCGTGGAGGAGTTTAGGTCACATCCGAAATCTGACGTTCCTGTCGGATTCTTTTCTTTCTCCAGTGTCTGAAGTTGAGCACTTCCTCCCAACGCTTTTGACCTTTGACGTGGTTTTTATTCGTTTTAACTGTAGGAAACCTTTAAAAGCATTTTGTGATCAAGTACGCTCCAGGCCCTGTGAGAAAGGATGTGCGTGGTAACCAGAGACTGGCCGGGTCCTCCCCAACCCTACCCAGCTTGGCTCCAAACGGAGCCCTTCCTTTTCCTGTCAGAACTGAGGGCTCCTTCCCTGGGTGGAACCATGGGGTGAGGACGTGATGCCCACCTATGTGCTGGCTAAAGCCATATACCCTCAGAGCAATTTAGATGCCCACTGGGCTAAAAAAAAAAAAAAAAAAAGGGGGGGGAGTTATTGCCCATAACCCAGCCTGCTGACTAGCGGTACTAAAGACAAATTATGACTTTCCTACTTCCTAGGCAAGGAGCTCTGGTAGCGTAGTGGTCAGCAAAGTCAGCAGTTCGAAACTACCAGCTGTTCCGCGGGAGAAAGATGAGGCATTCTTCTCGGAAACCCTGTACAGGGTCGCTATGAGTCGGAACAGGGTCGCTATGAGTCGGAACAGGGTCGCTATGAGTCAGAACAGGGTCGCTATGAGTCAGAACTGACTCCACGGTACATAACAAACATCCTAGGCACTTTACCATGTAAACCGATTACTCCATGAAAAATATTAAAAGTAATCTTTTGCTGATTGATATGAAGATAAACATAGATAAATATGGATATTTTGTTAACATTTTCTTCTACATAAAAGCTTATATTTCTCTAATGATTTTAACAGAAATTAAAAGTATTTTTATGAACCCCTAAAAATTACGTGGATCTTAGACACCACTTCATTGCCCTGGCACAGCTCAGAAAGGAAGGCCCAGGATTCTGACCAGAATAGCCAGTCCTGGCCAGAGATCAGAGAGGAGAGGAGATTGAGGAACCTTTCCCTTATGAGTACGGCTACCTGTTCCCAGGCAAAGAATTTAGGAGACAAATGTCTCCTGTGGACACTTGTGCACACACTTCAAGAGGTTACTGTGCATTTTTCAGGAGAGACACTGATTCCCAGTTAACATCACAATCACCTGGCACTGGGTGAGGGAAATGAACATGGTGTTACTTTTTAAAAGATAGAATCTGTATGCTTGTTCGTGAGGGAGGCTGCAGAATGCATCCCCTCCAACCCCATAGTCTTACCCAGCCCTTGGTTATCTGATCTGTGAAAAGGAATGGCTTGATGTGAGAATCCCAACTTTGTTTTACTGTGAGCTTTCCAAACATTAAAAAGACATTTTGAGTATCTTCTCCCAGTACTTTTAGTTGGCTGCCATCGAGTCAGCACTACTCATAGCAACCCTATGCACAACAGAACGAAACACTGCCCCGTCCTGGGCCAACCTCATGATTGTTGCCATGCTTGAGCCCATTTAGTAACATGTAAAATGGAGCTGAGGTTTTTATTAATGCTACACTATCCAGGTCTATTTAGAAACTACTTTCACATATCTGCAGACAGTGTATGGGGTACATCTGAATCTTGGGCCTCGTGCAACACCACAGCCTGGGGACCAACAACCTTTAGGGTCCCTCCAGTCCCAAATCCAGAGTTCCTAGCACTTTTCAAATGATCCTTTTAAGTAACAGCTATGTACAGGGTCGCTATGAATTGGAACCGACTCCATGGCACAAAACCCCCACTACCATTATATGAATTGGGGTCTCCATCACAATAGTTACAAACTTTCAGCCAGATGGTGGTGGTAGTCATGTGCTGTCAGGTCAGATCTGATTCATAGCAACCCTGTGTAGGGTTTCCGATGCTCTATAGAGGCCAAAAGGCTCTTCTTTTTCTTTTGGAGCAACTGGTGGATCTTAACTACGGACCTTTTGGTTAACAGCCCAAGGCATAACCCACTATACCACCAGTGCTCCCACCCAAATGGTTAACAAATCCTACCCCATGATCCCCTTTGAGGGCTTTGGCCCATGGACCCAGTCAGTGCCTGTCGGGCACATAGCTTTGTATGCTGCCCTGGGCCCTGTTTGTGGAGAGTACTGCTGGCTAGGTGGCCCCTTTCTTTAAGGGCTTAGTCAGGAGCATTAACCTCTGTTGGCTAACTCTTAGTGATTCTCAAGCTTTATGAGACATTGGAGTCACTGGGGAACTTGTTAAAATTGTAAAATCCTGGGCTCACTTGAAGAGATAATTGAGGAGGTAGCAATTTAAGTGGTCTGGAAGCTACCTTCAGAAGACATTGCAACTGGAGGAGTGCACAATGTACTTTAAGGAAGGAAAGAGAAACAAAAGTAATTTAGAAAACAACAGACTAGTGAGTAACAATGAAAATAAAACACAAGGGAACACAGTCTGTTTTGCATGAATAGGGTAGAAGCATTTGTTGTTGTTGTTATGTGCCATGGAGTCGGTTCCGACTCATAGCAACCCTGTACAGGGTTTCCGAGGCTGTAAATCTTTACAGGAAGAGAACCCCTCATCTTTCTCCCGTGGAACAGCTGGTAGTTTCAAACTGCTGACCTTGCGGTCCACAGCCCGATTCGTAACCACTATGCTACCAGAGCTCCTTGGGGTAGAAGCATAGGATATTTTAAAAGAGAATAGTTCTGAGGTGAGTAGTATCCCAGTGTCTTTATTCTATAGTGAGGAAAATAGAGGCCTGGGGAAGCTAACAAATAGACTTCTGTACGGCTGAGCAGATGAACCCTGCCACAGTTGAAGGGTCAGAGGTAGATGAGCACTGAGTGGTAGCCTATATGTATATTGCACATGTTCAAGTGTGTGTGGGGGAATGTGCCCCTATGTGTGTGGGTATGTATGCATCTGTTTATGTGTGTGCATGGGTGTGTGTGTGTTACAGGCAGATGCTCTCATTCTGCCCCTGACCAAGTCTTAACTGCAGCAGGGTCGTGTTTGACCTTCAGATGTAAGGGGGTAGTTATTTGTTAACCTAAGTGAGATCATATAATTTACGTACATCTGTGAAACTATTGACTGAGCCTGAGTTCCCTCACAGGAAAGCCTGTGAGGTTGATGCCATGAGTAAATATTACAGTATCACTTCCTGAGAGGCAGCAACAATCAACAAAGGCAGGAGCGTTCCTTAAAATTTAATTAGAATTGACAATCAAAGGGTTAGAAGAGCCCCAAATCAATGCTTTGGTGGTTATAGATTTTCCCCTTCCCTGACATTGGGTCAGGTGGGCTATTGGCTACCAATCTTCCTTTATATACATACACATGTGTTGTCTTGGTGTGGCACTGGACTACGATCAGCACTGGCATAGGATCAGCACTGGACTACGAACGACAAGGTCGGTGGTTCAAACCCACCAGCAGTTCATTGGAAACCCTATACAGGGTCGCTATGAGTAAGAAATGACTTGACAACACTTAACGTATATACATATTGTTGTTAAGTGCTGTCCAGTTGATTCTGACTCATAGTGACCCTATATAGGGTTTCCAAGGAGCAGCTGGTGAGCTTGAACTGCTGACCTTGTGGTTCCAACCGACCATGCATTCCAGCGCATTAACCACAGTGCCACTTATCCGGTGGCTTTTATGAAAAGGTGATGTGTCTTTGTGTACAGTTGCATGGAGTGGTTTTGTGAGATTCGAGAAGGAAAACGTGGCTTAGCTTCACTTTGTGTGCAGGGCCTGTGGCATGAAGAGAATGGCTGTGAGAGGGGAAGGGAGAGAGGTGGATGGAGCAGCATGGTGTATGTAATGGTCAGAGAGGGTAGTCTGAGGGACAGGTGTGCCTGCCTCCCAAAGCAGCCTAGACACTGAAGGTGGCCTTCTCTGGCTTGTGTGAGCAGGAAAATCGTGGAAGGCTCTGACGCTATCCCAGAAGAGGCCCTATGTGGATGAGGCTGAGCGGCTGCGGGTGCAGCACATGCAGGATTATCCCAACTACAAGTACCGACCCCGCAGGAAAAAACAGGTCAAGCGCCTCTGCAAGCGTGTGGACCCGGGCTTCCTCCTGAGCTCTCTCTCCCGCGACCAGAACACCCTGCCTGAGAAGAGGACTGGGAGCCGGGGCACTGTGGGTGAGAAGGAGGAGAGGGGTGAGTACTCCCCAGGTACCGCCCTGCCCAGCCTCAGGGGCTGCTACCACGAGGGGCCTGCTGGCAGCAGTGGCGGCACCACAGGCAGTATGGACACCTACCCGTACGGGTTGCCTACACCCCCGGAAATGTCTCCCCTGGACGTGCTGGAACCAGAGCAGACCTTCTTCTCCTCCCCCTGCCAGGAGGAGCATGCTCACTCTCACCGCATCCCACACCTGCCAGGGCCCCCATACTCCCCAGAGTATGCCCCTAGTCCCCTCCATTGTAGTCACCCCATGGGGTCTCTGGCCCTGGGCCAGTCCCCAGGAGTCTCTATGATACCCACTGTACCCGGCTGTCCCCCATCTCCTGCTTACTACTCCCCTGCCACCTACCACCCTCTCCACTCCAACCTCCATGCCCACCTGGGCCAGCTCTCGCCTCCTCCTGAGCACCCTGGCTTTGATGCCCTGGATCAGCTGAGCCAGGTAGAACTCCTGGAGGACATGGATCGCAATGAGTTCGACCAGTATTTGAACACTCCTGGCCACCCAGACTCTTCCTCAGGGGCTATGCCCCTCAGTGGGCATGCGCCGGTCTCCCATATAACACCAGCAGGCCCCACAGAGACCAGCCTCATCTCCGTCCTGGCTGACGCCACAGCAACGTACTACAACAGCTACAGTGTGTCATAGAGCCTGGAGGCAGCAGGTGCAGTCCTGCCCGTGTGCCTCTCCTCCCCAGTACCGCGTGGAGCTGAGAGACTATGCAGTATTACCAGCTTTCCTTGGACCGCCCTCAGGGTGTGGAGAGGTCTGAACTGCTGGCCCCAGGAGCCTTTGTCCTAAAGCTAAAGGGGGTCTTGCAATTTAAGTGCCCTCCTGTCTCCCCCTTGCCTGCTAGTTCCACTCCCTTCAGCCTACATTTTGAGTATATTCCTTCAAATGAGTTTTCACTGGCTCCACCCTGAGAACAAGGCAATGTAGTTGATGAAATATGCTGTTTAAAGGTAGAATTTTCATGAACCTCTCTTCCCAGTCCCCCTTGTTGAGACAAATGTGTGAAAAGCCCAGCATTTGCATCTCTCCTGCTTCCCACACAGCCGCTCTGAGCACAGCAGATGTGGTCTTTTAGGTCCTTCGTGGGAGAAGAGCAGTGGATAAGGCATCCAGGACTTGTGAGTTAGTCCCAGATCTGCCACAAGCAAGAAGAATGACACCCTGGTCTGCCACCTCCTCCCCTCCCTACACCCAAGCCTATTTTCCCATCAGCTAAGCGAGGGGCAGGCTTGAGGTCTAAGGCTCTCTCTGCCCCACACTTCTGATATAAGATTCTCTCAAGACTAACTAAAAGGAAAATGAGAAATTTGACTCCTTAATAAGCTCATTAGCATGCAACTTGGTGATAATTTGGTGGGCGCAATCCAAGGACACAAAGTTTTCTACACTTTCACTCCCTTCCATAATTATTTCATTCTTCCAAAAGGATTATTTTTCTGTTTGGAAAAAAAAAAAAGAGAGAAAGAAAATTCACCTTGATTTGGGGCCATAACGGCTATGGTTGAGTGTTTTTTTTTTGTTTTTAGCTAAGCTCTCTTTTATGACACACAGATTTCACAAGTATATACACAATCTAAATATAGATGGTGAGTGTAACTGAAATACACAAACTTTCACATACACCCTTAACTAAATACGAGGGTCTTAAATATTTTTGTGGAAAAATTATATTATCTTTTACTTCTTTCTTTGTTTTGAAGTCCCCTCATATGTGTCTGTGCATACCAAATATGATGTTTTTGTTAATGATGGTAATTTCACGTCAACTCTCTGATCCTAAAGACCGAACAAGCCTTGGTACCTAAAAGGAACTGGGAACAAAGCAGAGTTACTTTAAGTCTTGATGTGTTCATTTCTTGAACAAACTTTTAGCACATTCCCCCTCTCTGGAGGCAAAAGGAGTACCCTTCCCTGCTGTCTCTGTCTCTTTCTCTCCCTTTCCTGTTGTGTTTTCTTTGTTTCTGCTTCCTTTCTCTTTCTCCACGCCTGTATTAGACACTACTTCATAGCCAGAGCACCTGATTTATAATCCCAAATATAATGCCTATGGATTTGAAGGGAATTTGTTATCCTCACAAGCCAGCTGGTTCCTTAAGGCCAGTTCCCTCAGCCAACATTTTAGAACACCTTTCCTGCCTGCACTTTGATTATACTTAATACCCAAAGAGCAAAAATGCACTGTGATTCGGAACATGTTTCTGAGCCCTGACTCCACCCCAAAACATTTCCATCCTTCCCTTAAGTCTCCTTTGAAGGAACATACCTGACAAAGAGCTAAAAGACAGCTGTTTATCTTGTGATTTCAGCATAATATTGCCTGTATGAACTATGTAAGTGTTTTATATATTCTCTTATTATTTTCCCCTTATGTTTTGTATTGTTAAACTATCCTCGTTTTTCTTTCTAAGAAGTCTTATTGTAAAATGACTTACAAGATATGATTAACCTTTATACTATTATTGTATATAACATTTGATAATAAATAGTAAACTGTTGAAGATGTGATTGACTGGTACACAATCCCGAATGTGTATTAATAATCTTTTAAAACACTATCACAGACATTAAGCTAAACTGTTCCTTTTTTTGTCTTTTTTTTTTCCGTAAGACCTACACATGCTTTGGAACGGTTGTAGATATTGATTTGTCTAAAATATTTAATTTAAATAAACATTTTTTATACCATGATCATGCTATCATTTTAAATACAGTTTTGCAGAAAGAAAATGTTTTCTCGAGAAACAGATATTATGTCCAATGTTATTTGTATTATGGATTAAATTTTTTCTACATCAACTTTTTTATTTAAAGAAGTTGGTATCTTATGGGGTGCTGTATTTTGTTTTGAGTTATGGTGAAGAGAGAAATCCCACTTAGAGGCATTGGAAACTCTTGGTATAACTAGTACAGTAAGCAAGGACAGACTAGTAACCCAAGAAGAATTTTCTTCACAAGATGACTTTACATTTGCAAATGAAATGAAGTAATTATCAAGCAATTTCAAGATCCAAAAGTAGATTTTGCCTCATAATTTGCTTCTTTCAGGTTACTACTTCCTCCCCCACCCCTTTCTTTTACCTAAATTGCCCTGTTTGCTATGTATCTATGGATATGGTATTATAGCAACAAGCAAACTCTGAAAGCTCTATGGAATGTTGTGGAGGAAGCAGGAGAGCACATGGATTGGCAGTGAAAGAATGTAACATTTTGCAAGTTTTAGGATTATAATGCCAGGCAAAAGGTACCTGGAAAAAACTGGTGATTACTCAGTCGCTGTGCAGGTCACTCACTCGGCGGTGCAGCAGTTGTAACATGTTCAAGTCAAGGGTAGCCTTATGTTTTCCCAGGCCCTCTGGGCCAAGGAGTGGGTCTTGGGAGGGCCAAACTGGGCATATGTTTATCCTTCAATTATGATCCTAATCTGTATTCATTACTTTAATAGCTTTTTATAGGTGTACAGAACTTTACAGAAAATTTTATGGGCTATTTCTCATCCACAGTCCCGGGTGGGGCTCTGTCATCCATCCATCCCAGTGCACAGCCAGGGACACTGAGGCCTAGGTGGGAGCTGGTGAAGCATGGTTCACACCACTTAATCAGGGAAAGCTGGGAGTTCAGTGCGTAGCTAGACTTGTTTGTTGGCAGCCTCAGCCAAACAATTGCACAGTTAGAGGCTTGATGCTTTATTTTAGAGCTCTCTCGTGATACGGCATTATATGGAGTATACTTCATACTTGTCATAGCCCAGGAAAAGAAAGAAAGAGCAAATGACATGATGGGGCCAGAGTTCGATGTTGCCTGAAGACATTACCATTGAGGCTCCCCCCCCCCCCCCCCCCCCCTGCTGTCAGCTAACTGTGGCCGCCTGCAAATGAGAGGGCTGTACAATGGGGTGGTGCCGGCCTTGTCTGGCAGTGTCTGCCCATGACATCGTCCTGACACTGCCAAAAGGGGTGTATTGGTTTACAGGACATGCTGTGGGATGGGGGCGTTGTCCCTGCCTCTGGGAGGGCAGGAAACAGACAGGCGACAGGACCACTCTTTCACTTTTGTTCGATTATGAGTAAAACAGTCCTTCCCAGAAAGCTTGGCATGTGTTAGAGTTTTAGCTGCTCATTCTAGGCACACAATTCTCTCCAGTGATGAGAGTGCTCTCTCTTTTCTCTGATGAGAACTTAGGGATATGCACCTGGGAACCTGGTGGCTCTGTACGATAAACTCTAGACTGCAAACCACAAGGTTGGTGGTTAAAGCCCGCCAGCCATTCCTCTCTGTTCCTGTACAGCCTTGGAAACCCTACACTGGGTTGCTATGAGTCAGAATCAACTCGGCGACACTTAACAACACCAACAGTGATACGTTACTTTACCTAACACACAGATATTACAGTTTTGTGCTTTTTCTTACCTCTGCCCCCCAACACCTGTTGTCACCAGCAGCTACCGTGTACTGCACAAGTGGGTTCGCCTTGCCACTAATGAGGATTGCTTTTCTGCCCACTCTCTTGTGCGGGCTGTTTCCAGTGTTCCTATTAGGACCCTAGTTATATGTTCATGTGGCCATTTGTGTTTATAAACATTGTAAATGGAAAGATATTAGTGTATAATATTTGATGAAAGCCCCTAAATTGTATAAGCTTCAGGTCCCCTAACACCTGACTGGCCCTGTGTGGGTACCTTAAAGGCCAAGCCTCTTCCCAGTGTCCTCCCTTACAGCTCCCTATGCGGTACCTTGCCACTTTTGCGAAGCTTCAGTCTTATATGACAATACCAAGGGGATTCCAAACGTTCATGGGAAAATGGAAATGAAAGAAAATGGATTTTCTCTATAAACTTTTTGAATCCTCTTCAGCGTCTTCTTTCCCATGCTTCTGTGTTTTTACCAGTGTTTTTTCCCTACTTGGTGTGGCACTGTACAATAAGCAGTCGACTGCAAGATCGGTTTGAACCACAAGATTGGTGGTTCAAACTCACCACTTGCTCCTCAGAAACGCTATACAGGGTCGCTATGAGTCAGAACCGACTCAGTGGCACTTAACCACAACAACACAACATTTCCCTACCTGGAAGACCCTCTTCTTTAGCCTGTCTGGGAACATCCCACTCATTGTGCAAGTCTAGCTCAGACCCTGCCTGGCAGAGGGACAATTACTCTTCCCTGAGCTTCCTCCTGCTGGAGTAACTAAGGCAGATTTCCTTACCTCATCATCCAGCACTGGAATTATCCACCCTTCCCCGCAGGGCAGACACAGAATCCTTGCTCAATAAATAGATGAATGAACAAATGGATAAAGCAAATATCTGAGATGTTCTATTCAGTTTTTTTAGTTAATCTTGGTAGCATTACGAACTTTGATGATTGAAGAATTGGACATTTCTTGATCCTTAAATTTCTGGCCCATCTCTTTGGAAGAAAAACCATGGGGCTTTGTGTGTGTGTGATTCTCACAGCCCTGAGGCTGGGTGTGACAAGGCAATGGCTATTTGTCCACATGTCCTAGATGTATACAGGTCAAGAGATGAGTACAAGGAGAAGAGAAGAATCTTTTCCTTTCCCCATCTGGGGCAACAGAACAAAGCTAAGGGCAGACAGCTTCTAACAGTCCTTGTCTGTCTGCAGTGATTATAAAACCACTTTCCTTCTGGGA